CTCCTCCTCCTCCTCCACCTCTTGCTCCTGCTAGTCCCCTCTCTTGCCGCAGCCCCCCTCCTCCTCCTCCCCCCCTTGAAAAGCCGAGAGCGTGGTCATGGGGTATGGCGTCCGTATAAGCGTCCTCGTCGCTGCTGCTTCCCATATTCGACAGCTGGGGAAGCCTGCGGACGCTCTAGGCGCGGTCAGGGCTCGGTCGATGCTTCACAGCAGTCGTCGAAGTGCGTGAAAGGTGATACAACGCAGCAACTCGGCGCTGTTTGTGTTTGACTGGATTCAACGGGGTGTGATAGTTGATCGGAAAATAAGCAATAGGGATGCCCGGGAAATTAAAAACTTGAAAAAACGCCACGTACACTACACATGTTCATGTTGTTGTTTGTTGTTGTTGTTGTTTCTCGCATTAGCTCTATAGTTCACAAAAAATGGGGAGCCCGTGCTCTTAAAACCCGGCACATACGACTTAGGGTTAGGGTTAGGGTTAGGACCGGTCGCCCCGGTGGTCTAGTTGGTAACCTCGAAATCTTCTAGAGGGGTTCGAATCCCGGCGTAAGCGAGCTTTTCTTGCAAAGTGAGTTTTCCTCTCGCTTCCGCTCCTGGCCGAGTGGATAGCGCTAGTTCGTGTGTACACAGAGGGAAGAGAGTGCTGAACTCTTCTCGCATTAAAAATCGAAGGCAAAGTACCGCAGGAGGGGAGGGTAGAGAGGGGCTCTTCTGTGTGATAACGGGTTGGAGCTGTGAGCGCTGATTGTAAGTGAAGACAAAAAAAAAAAAACGACGCCGCGGGGAAACAAAACAAAAGTATAGGGTAGAGTCCGTCCGGTTAAATTTTGCCACCATCTCCTGAAATCACCTTGGGAATTGTTTTGAGTGACTGACGTACCCCCTAGTGACATACTTTATATCGTAAGAAAGCTCTGTTTCCGGCGGATCGTTTGGATGGAGCAGATTTTTTTTGTTTTTTTTTGTTGGCGAGAAAATCACGATTCCGTGGAGATTTTGGACGATTTTGGTTAGTTTTATTTGGTCGAGTGTGAGGTCATATATATTTTTTTAGACCGGTTTTGAACGTATCACGCCCAGGGGCTCACGGCGACACAACTCAGCTTTATTTTCGCTAATAAACAACGGAGATATGGGCAGAAAACCGCATTTCAGGTGCCCTCAGAGTTTAGTTTCTTGGGGAGTATTGAACCATACGATGTCCAAAAACTCAACGGATTCGGGCGAATTGGACCTGCACCTAGGGACGTTTTTTTTTTTTTCCGAAAAAATTCGTTTGAGCGAAATATGGCCGCTCAAAGTTTGGTGCTGCTGACACACACACAAAGCCACACACGAAACACCATAACCCACACCATACAGCAGTACTGGTCACCCCAAGAGGGCCCACACAAGTCTACACATGTCCGGGCGTCGTGGTGCCNATCTAGATATCTCACGTTAGGGTGCTATCATTATGACAAGTATAGCTTGGGGAGCTGCTGTCACGATCAATATAAAATATTATCACATTCAATAACTGCTAGTATGTCGGCGTTTCGAGGCAGTTTCGGGGAGAATGGGGGTCCCGTGGGGGTTATTGGGGGCCCCGTGAGTGCATGTGGGGGCCCCGTGGGATCATCGGGGGGGTCAAATTCGCCAAAAAAAAGGCCAAATGCACGGATTTTTTCTTTGACCCCGGATTTCGATGCTTCTCGACCGTGCGGTTCTTGCCAACTTTATTTCACGATTCACTTCCTAAAAATGAGCAAGAAAAAGTGGGGGTCACGTTGTGGCAAAATTTAACCGGACAGACTATACAAACTACCGTAAATGACACAATATAAGAAACCCCCACAGTATACGACACCCCCGGGGTGGTAATTTTGGGCGTCTCTGAGCCAATTGTTATTGTTGTTGTTGTTGTTGTCTTCACATTAAAAACCATCCCGGTCTC